CTATTAGTAATTCTCTTTATTCAGTGAATAAATGAAAAGATAGAAAACCAGTTGTTCTACAATTGACACTGTGTCTCAGTTGTTCATAATATTCAAATAGCAAAGCATGAAGATCTGTCTCAACTGCAGTTTTCATTGATATAAAAGAATCATTTGATCATGATTCAAAGTTCAAGTTAATTCAGAGAGGGCGGGAGGGGCATGTAGAGGGCGGGGATTTTGGGGGGGATGTTGTCTTGCTCGGCGAGGGTGGTGGTGTGGGTTCGCGGGGTTTGGTCCATGGTGAGGAGGGCGGGGTGTTTTGTATATTTATTCATTATTTTCCAAGGGAAGGGTGAGTTTGGTTAAGCTAGGAGCAAAGGGGCGAATGCAGGAGGTAGAATCGAGGGCAGTAGTATGGTATATATCGCATTGATTATCCTCCCTCTCACTCAAGAATTATATTAAACAGCAGATTAAAAAAGATTAAATATATAATCATCGAAGCAATCCGTACGGAGTAGATTGAGGAGGATAGCCGCCAAGCCCTATATACTGGAAGTTGCTGCCAGGCTTGTGACGTCAATATCAATACGGGATTTAGCTGGTGGGCTATATAGAGTGTGTCGCAAAATAAAACCTTTAGTTATCCCGAACTCCCCCTCCGTGGAAAATATAGACACTGTTCGCTCGGGATGGCTAAGAAAAAATTGATCAATGGTTACGGAAATATTCCGTTCGGTGAATGCAAGTTTCTTTCTCAATTCATTTATAAATTATAAATCAGCACATTGCATTCTCTCACACACATGTTCGGCGGGACACCAAGTTTAGTTCCGCCGCTCCCCTCCTCACGAACTCTGGGATGGGCAGTAGTTTGTGCCGTATAGATATCTAGATATACATACATACCTAAGAAGTAAACGAAAAAAAGCGAAAACGAAAATAAAAATGAAAATAAAAACGAAGAAATACAGAAACAAATGCGACAAGGGGTATATGGACATTAAGGCGAGTCAAAGACGACACACTATAAAATAGGAAATGGAGGTAAAAGGAACACTTAACCCGAAATAAAAAACAGCGTCCGGTGTAATGTATGAAAAGGCTGTTGGCTCCGTAGCGAATGGAGAGAAGACAGGAGAAATCAAGAAGAAAGGAAAAAGATAAAGAAACCGACTAGAAAAACGCCGTCGTCGCGAAAATTCCCGCCCAACCCCAATACCGATGGCAATGAATCAACGAAACCAGCCCGTAAAATCATCAAAGAGCCGGAAAAAAAAAAAAGAAGCCGAAGAACAAACCAGCCAGCTACCTAACCCCCATTTACTCTCCCCGCTGCAACATATCAACCTCCTGATAGAGATGCTCCGGATCGTTAAAAACCCTCCACACATCATCAGGCACGCCCTCAAACGCCTTCAGAAAGCGCTTCTCCTTATTCTTCTCCTCCATGTTCCCCACATCCATGACTCGCCGGATATATATGGCGCGCACCCACTCTTTATGCCTGTGGTAGATCTCCGCATACGCCTCCGGGTCGCTTTGCGTTGAGTCGCCGATGCAGATGACCTTCCGTTTCGGGAACCAGCGGTACAGCTTCTCCATGCGGTCGACTTTGTACGCCTGTGTCCCCTTCGTGAAGGATTTCAGGAGCCCGCTGAGGTCCATCCAGGATTTATCGCGTAGGATAAGCGTGCCGTGTGGGTACTCTTCGCGGAGGAAGGATCGGAGGAATGGGTATAGATTGTATGGTGACGCGGAGAGGTAGAACCAGGTGGGCTTGAGTTCTTTCTCGATATATTTGTAGAGACGGGGCATGCCGGTGATGGAGCGTGGTTCCTCCACAAAGGTGGTGCGCAGGATGCCGACGGCGTCGCTGGTCTGGGTGTACTTGACGGTGTCGTCGACGTCGGAGATCATCAGCCAGCCGGTCGGGGAGGCAAATTCGGTATCCATCGACACCTTGTGGTCCCAGTGTCTTAATGAGGGGTGGGTAACAGTTCCATCGACGATGTCAGACCCGCCGATCCGGACTATCTGGGAGATGATACCGTGGCTATTGGACGGGTTTAGCTTCCGTTTGACGATAGTGTGGCGCGTGAGTGGTATATCCAGGCTTATGGAGCGGGCTGGGGCTATAGAATCAACAAACGGCTGTACTCGCTCAGTCATGCGCTCGCGAACTTCTTTTTTATTCAGCCCAAAGTCCCCATCTAGCCCGATGGCGTCCGCTATAGTCGCGACGAACTTGCCAACCTCCTCACGACCGCGCTTGATGAAGATGCATGCGACTATCTCCACCTGCCATGGCTGATTTCTGTTGTGGAATCTGCCGCCCGGCGATCTGTAGGCGGTGTTATCTAGGAGCCATACCCTGTGCTGCTCAGGGTTCGCAGGTTGAACTAGAGGGTTTCCTCGTCCCAGCAACGAAGCAACGATTCCTAAGAGAGGTGTTAAATGCAGGGGAGCGCGAATGGAAAGGGTATTCTCGACACGATCGAAGTTGCCTTTGGACCGAGTTTCTTGTTCTTGTGGCGTTTCTTTCTTACGCCGCGCCTGAGTAGGAAGCATAGTAGTAGCAGTGAATAGCAGAGGAGGCACAGAGGGATCTAGTTAGTTAGTTAGTAGACGCGGAGTGAGTGAACAAGTGAAGTCAAGTAACGTTTTCGATTTCGAAGTAGTGAACTATCCGACCAAGGAATGAGCACAGGTGAGGAAGATATCAACTTAATAGTTCTTGAAGTAGCGGTGGACAACGAGTGAAAGAACACAAAACAGGCCAGGACAACGAGGTCATGTTGGAAAGAGTCCAACAGCGTAGATTATTTATCTATTTCTGTCTGTCTGGCGGCAACAAGCAACAAGCAACAAGCAGCCATGTGAGGTGAAGAAGGACCGCTTTCCTCCCTTCACACCCCCCCCCCCCCCCCGGGGGGCCCCCCCGCACATAATCCCCGCACATAATCAGGAGCCACCACCACCGCAAGTGATCATCTTCAACAATGCGGCTGCTCTTGGTTGGCGGCGAGAGACGGCGCCAACTGATAGGCAGTGAGTGTGGTTATCATAGAAACAGCCATCCGGCGGTTGACAGCTGGACAGGACAGCCTGACAGGACAGAGCAAATACATAGTAGTAATAATGGATGTGTGGGACAAGCAGGCTTGGGTATTTTCGTGATGCAGCAGACCATGAGAATGAGATGACATGAGCTGGCGGTTGGGGGCTAATAGTAAATAACTCTTTATTCTTAGCAAAAAAGGTGTCAGGAATCAGTATTATTTATTTTAGCAGGCTCTAGTAAGGAACTCACTAACTAACAAGCAGTACTGCGTAAGGAAAGCCCACAATGATCAGCCCTGTCTATTATTTATTATTTATTGTCCTTTCTGTCCTTGTCCTCGCCAGCTCTACTCCGTATTCCTGGTGTCACTGGGCCAGGTCAGGAGATGTTGGTTGTTTGGCATTATGAGTCTCGTGCAGGTATATTATTAGGTAGATAGAAGAAGAAGAGAGAAGAAGAGATGTAGTTATTGCATTGCATGCTTGGTTCTCTAAATTCTACGTTTAACTATTCCCATGGTTCTTTGAATTATATTGTTCTCTGCTTTCTTTTGGTCTGGTGCTAAAATATGTAACTCTATTCCCAACAAACACGGCTTAGGCCTATTTTTGCTTTGCTGCGTGCTGTGTCTACAACCCAGGATGTTGATTTAAATAATATGAATTAGACTCCTCCGAGAGCCAAAAAACCATTCAAAAGGTCAGAAAGGTGACCTTATAAATAAACAACAGAGGAATGACCCTACCTACCCTGCTTAGCCGCGATAAGCGTCCACCACCTAACTTAGGTTAAAGGGCCCAGGATTTAGCGCGGGCCGTGCTTGGCGTTCCACTCTTCTGGATCCATTGGCATCATGTTTTCTATATCAATCAGCCCACATCATTGCATCTATTATTAGCTTTGCTTGTTCGAAAGAAATAGACAAAATATTGGTTTAAGATGGTTCTTTCTTTCTTTCTTTCTATTTCATGGCTCCAGATCTGTAATTGAGCATTAAGCCTATCCTATCACTTCCACATCAAAAGGCGACGATGTTCTCTACTGTGCATAGTCTCTGGACGCAGGTATTTCCTCCACGCCCCCTGTTCACGGAGAAAAACTTGCCGGACCTACAGGGAAAGGTAACTAGGTTGTCTATTCATTCTCATGCAGGGGACTTTTTATTTTCCATTTCATTTCTTCACTTCAGGTGCCATAAGTACTAATAGTTCTATATCCAGGTCTATATCGTGACGGGGTCAAACACCGGAGTTGGCAAGGAACTGGCCCAAATTCTTTTCTCCAAGAACGCAAAAGTCTACATAGCAGCACGCTCAGAGGACAAGGCCAATAACGCGATCAAGGAGATTCTAAAAGCCAACCCTGATTCCACGGGAGAACTAACTTATCTACCCCTCAACCTCAGCGATCTAACAACTATCAAATCGTCCGCTGAAAGTTTTCTGTCCAAGGAGAACAAGCTACATGTCCTCTTCAACAACGCTGGCGTCATGACGCCGCCCAGGGGCTCCAAGACAGCCCAGGGCTACGAACTTCAACTAGGCGTCAACAACATCGGCCCCTTCCTCTTCACAAAACTACTAACCCCAACACTCGTATCCACAGCGAAGACGGAGCCGCCCAACACAGTCCGCGTGATCTGGGTTTCCTCGATCGCCATGGAGACAGGCGCGCCAAAATCAGTCGGCGTGCCACTAGACAAACTGGATAATCTCACCGACAGCAAATCATCGCAGTATCTTAATTACTCCATCAGCAAGGCTGGGAATTACCTGTATGCCGCCGAGTTTGCGAAGCGATATCGCGCCGATGGGGTTCTCAGCGTAGCGCTGAATCCGGGGAATCTTGCTTCGGATCTCTCGCGGCATCGAGCGTTTTTGTTCAAGGCGGTGACGCGCCCGATGCTATATTCGCCTGTGCTTGGGGCTTATACTGAGCTCTTCGCTGGGTTGTCTCCGGATGTCACTGGCAAGGAGCCAGGTAATTGGAGTGAGTCTTCTCTCTTTTCTTCTTCCCCCTCTTCCGTTCGCTGGCAGGCGGGGATATGCGGTGTTAAATATATTAACTATTGCGGTAATTTTTTATTTTTAGTTATACCATGGGGACGGGTCGTTTCTGTTCGGAAAGATTTGATAGAAGCAACCAAAACTGAGGCAGAGGGAGGTAATGGAACGGCGCTGAAGTTTTGGGAGTGGACTGAGAAGCAAATTAATCCTTATCTTTAAGCCGCCCTTTTTCTCATCCCTTCTTATCTTTTCTTTTCCATGTACTACTACTGTACGCGTACGTGTTGTATACGCTTATGATGGGTGACTGATCGTGCTGGGAGGTGTATGCTGAAAATGTTCAGTTGAAATAGTAGGTGAATAAGTAAGGTTAACTAGTGTGTAGTGTTCAAAGGTATCAGGGCTCTCTGGGTAACAGACCATTTTCTATTGTGTCAAGATGCAAGGGAAATGCAGGGTCTAAGGGGATTGATGTGACGAGCTCAGCTGCAGCTTTATTAGAATCTCCATTATCATCGTGTGAGTGGAAATAAAGGCAGATGTATTTCCCATCTTCCATATCCCTAATCGACCTAGCTATTATTGGACGCCTTAAACGCCACCACGATTATTTACGAGTCCTGAAGCGAATCAGCCTAAACATCAGGCGCCCAAAATAAAGACCGGAGCGAACTGTTGCCAGAAACAAAAAATGAAAAAGACCTGGCAAAACCAGCGATAAGGAAATCATAAACAGAACGAGAGTAAAAAAAAAAAAAAAAAAAAAGAATATAAGGATATATATCTAAATGGCCAAACGCGACCGCATCAAACGTCTCATTTCCCTCAAGTCAACCCACCGCTGGACATCCCAACACATGCGCCCGCAGGCAACCGAAGAAGCCATATATAAATTCCTCTCAAGGACTCCGCCGCCAGATATCATCATCGACTGGCCCTCCTCGACCGGTAGTACAATAGAAACAACAACGACGACGACGACGAGGAATCCTCATCAAGCCGTGCGCAGGAGCCCACTCTTCCACAAACTACCCCCCGAGCTACGACGGCATCTGTATATCCTTGCCTTTGGCAATAGGGTGGTACACATTGAAGATAGCGGTAGAGATAAGTTGACGCGCATGCCTTGTTTCTGTCCGTTTTCAGGTCCAGGGTGCGCACCGTGGGAGGATCGTTGTGACCGTGAATATGGGAGGGGGTTGGATGGGTTGAGGGATCCTATTGGGATTATCGGGTGGTTGTTGAGTTGTCGGATGGCGTGAGTTTTTTATTTTTATTTATTTTTATTTTTTTATTTTTTTATTATTTATTTATTATTTATTTATTATTTATTTTATTTTTAGTTTTCTTTTAATTTTTAAGTTAATTTTTGAATAAATGTTACATGGGGTAGCTTTTGCTTTCTTTGATTTATTAAATAAAATGGCAAAATTACCTTACTAATTACCTTGCTCTTAGGTACGCGGAGACCATCGGCGTCTTCTACTCAACTAACACAGTCCGCATTCTCAGCTTCGGCGGTCTACCGCGACTGCCGACCCGTCTACCCCCAGGTATATTAGGGTGCATTACTTCCCTCGAGCTAATCCCTCGGGTCCGGCTGCACGCATTGCCAGAGGAATTCCTATGCTTGCTGCCCCGAGAGATATTTCCAGGCCTACGCAGACTGTATCTCTTGGTTCGCGACATAGAGCCACCGCTATTCAATTTCCAAGACTACGATGGTGAGTGTGACAAGGCCGCGAAACTAGTTGCGTTTCTTAGCCGAGCTGATCGTATCGCGCGGAAACTGCTCGCTCACCCTTCTCGGTTGGAAGTGTTTGAAGTAGCAGTTCGGCACAGCACATTCCGCCATTTGATTGCAGGGCTGGGAGAGGAAGAGAGACGGGTTGCTGTGCGGGGAGGCTTGCGATATCCGCAAGGAGAGCGCTTGTGGAGGAGCGTGGGGGAATTGGATGTTGATATTCATGCGGCTGCTGAGGATGATGTTGGTCGTGTGGGCAGTCGTTTTAGAAAGGAGCGGGGCTATTGGATTCTAGATGATTTGTCAGGCGAATGCGAATGAATAAGGAAAAGGTGCTTGACGCCATATTGGCGTGGGAGAGCATGAGACCGTGCATAAATTTAGGGAGTTATATCTGGTGGGGTATGGAGGGGATTTTTGCTCTCAATTGGCCGTGACAACCCAAGGGCATTTGTGCATGTCCTGCGTTCACATGGACAATATATCACAGATTTTCCTTGTTTCTTTTTCGTCTTAGCTTGCCAAACTCATAGGGAAATGCGTGAGGATGCAGCCATTAAAGCATAAATGCATTGGCCCTCTGTGAGCACGAGAATACTCGCGCACTGCCTCCACTACTTGCAAGAGCTCCCATGCTTGAACCAACACTGAAGACTTGTTTGATAAACAAGAGCCATTTGAACTATGTTCAAGTGTACACCCTAGCTAGGTTCAACACTTGTCCGTCATTGAACTGAGAGAGGGTCTTGTCAGTTGTTTCTTTGCACTCCTGTCCATTCTCAAGAGCCAAAAAATTCTCATATAACTGGAGAGGTCACAGCAAAAAGCAGGGCCATTGCTCGCTGACTGCCATTACTCTCAGATCAGTCGAAGGAAATCATATGGAGCCATCGTCCTCCGTGTTATGATCGTCAAGAGCTCGTTCCTGTCGTTGCTCGTGGCTATCAGGCTAATTTGCATCTGCGCATTGTTATGTATTCTGGCCATTCGGCATGATATTCGGTTTTGATCCACCCGTCAAGAGGAAGGGAGAGAGGAAAATAGAAAAGAATGTTCGTGGATGCCGATGAATGACATTGAGAGCTCTACATTGCCCAATTAATGAGGAAGTTAGCGGTTGCCATTGAGAGGTTGGGATTAAGATGCCAAGCCCTGTTTAGATAAGCCGATTTGGCTCCGGCCGTGGAGAGACTGGAGAATCGACGAGTCGACGACAGTTGGAACAACAACATCATCTCACCTCCCTCCACTCTCCACCTGCACGCCGCGACCTGCCTTGGTATGTATCTTCACTATTCCCTAGTGCTCACGCTAACTGGGGATGGATATCTCCAGGGCTCACACTGTCTGTTCCCTTACCTATCTGGTACTACTGGTGAACTATGGATGCCCTACGTTTCTGCACCAGGTACCAGGTACAGACTACAGACTGGCTGAAGGGTCCCTGATTCTGCAATCGTAGTGTCCTAGCCACTAATCATCATCAGGACAATGGCGCGTTGAGGGGCTTACTTACTCCTGCCGGACGTTGTTAACTCGACCGACACAGGTCCACTCTAATGCTCCGATACGCACCGGGAGACTCCCAGGTAAACAGGTAGAGCAGATAACAATACAGCAGCCGCGACGGATCGGGTTGGCCTTGTTGACCTTGCCTCCCCGAGGCTGGGAGAACATGTCCAGCCCGGACTCCTATTTTTCTGGAAGCCACAGCGCTGACAGGGAGTGGGTTATGCAGCGGTGTGTGGTGTGGTGTGGGGCTAGCGTGGGCATTCGACTAGGTCGGGTCCGGGTCGAATCCGAGTCCCTATTCGAAAATAATAATGGCATATAAGACGTCAAAAGGACCCCCCCCTCCTATTGAGATTCGTTTGAGCTCATCTCTATCATGGCTACCTAATGAGTACTATTATTATTATCCTTCTTTCCTTCTTTCTAGCCTACCCTAAGATGCTGCACCTGCGCTCGTTTACAGCAGCTGCAACTGCTCTCTCCCTCACTTTGCTTTTGGCCGCCGCTCCTACATCGGCTGCTCCTACAACCGCGACTGTTCCCGTATCTAGTTTAACCGAAGAAGTCGACGGGGATTTTGCACTCGTTTACTATGGTAAGGAGAATGCAGAGCCCCTGCTTGTGGGCAATGACGGGAGCGCGGCAACCGGCGGATGGAGATCCTGGAATCTCGCCGCGGATCCCGCCACAAATACCCTGCCGCAGCTGGCAGCTAGTGCCCATGGACGCACCAAGGCGATAGGCCTGATGTACGATGTTGGGGGAAGAGACATTGTTGTCTCTATTGCTGCTACTGACTCCGTATTGCGCGTTTATGAGATGTCGGACGCCGAGGAACGCCGCTCGAACCAGAAGGTGATGTTGGGCGATTGGTCTGCTCTCTGTCCATGGCGCAGCCCCAAAACTGGGAATCAGTACTTTTATTTGTTTGGGAAGAAGCAGGCGGTGCAGTTCATCGTCAGGAGGCATGGGACCAAGTTTGAAATTCTCGAGGTCTGTAGATTCGCCTGCGTTAATTTCTTGTACAGTACAAGATCTTTTTCGTTTTGGATAAATTCCATTTTATTCGGACTAAAAGAAAAAAAGAAAAAGAAAAAGGGAAAAAACAAGAAGAGAAGGCCAATTGATGTGTCCGTCTATATTCCGTGCTAACACCTTTAAAGGTTCAATCATTCGACATTCCCGTCGAGCCCAATGCCTGTGCTGTTTCTCCCAGCGAAGGGACGGTCTACTTCTCAGCGGACGATGATAAGTCCGTCTATACCTTCAAGGCGGAAGACTCAACGACTACTCCTGAAATTACCGTTCTTGGAAAAGCTGAGGATGACGTCACTGGACTGGCCATATACGTTACCGAATCCTCCACATACTTGTTTATTGCTAGCGAGTATACTATTGGCATTTACTCACCAAAGCTTGAGCTTCAGGGAACAGTGGAACTCACTGGCCTAGAGGACATCGAGATTGAGGGCTTGTCAATTGGTCAGAAGAAAAGTACCAACTTCCCTGCTGGCTTGATTAGCTATGCTTTGGAGTCTGAAGCAGGGCAATCATTCGGTGTCAGCTCTTTGGAACCAGTATTCAAGAAGTTGGGACTCAAGGCTAACACAAAGTATGATCCACGCCCACCAAAGGGTTTCCCGAACGGAGATAAGAAGAACGGGTTTGACAACGGTGGTGGCTCACTTTCTTGTTTCGCGGGATTCACCGGCAAAAAATGCTTAGACTTTACTTGCGAAAACGGCTGCTCAAACCAAGGCAAATGTGTCGGGCCCAACGTATGCGAGTGCAACGATTTCTGGGCTGGACCGGACTGTTCATTCATCATCGTGGAACCTAAGTTCGAAACGGATGCCAACGGTGGAGACGGAGATGACCCAGCCATTTGGATCTCCCCGTATTCTGCTAACGAGTCAACAATTATAACTACGACCAAGTCGTCCGAAGGGGCGGGATTAGCCGTGTTTGATCTCACAGGAAAGCTACTCCAAGTGATGAAAGCAGGACAGCCTAACAATGTCGACGTTATCTATGGGATGAAAGCTGGTGACAGGACGATCGATCTCGCATACGCAGCTTGCAGAGAAGATCACACGTTGTGGTAAGTGGGAAACGCTTGTTTTCTTTACCTATCCACTCACAATATCCTCCTCCCTCAATGCCCTAAGTAGAAACCTACTAAAACTCTCTCTCCCAGCCTATTCGAAATCACCCGCGAAGGGCTCTTGAAGGACATCCCCGGCGGCACACAGCCCACAAAGGACGGCTACAAGGTCTACGGCTCCTGCACCTACCGTTCCCCAAGCAGCGGCAAACAATATCTCTTCGTCAACTCCAAATCAACTGAATACCTCCAATACGAGCTGTCCATCTCGTCTAACGGCACCATATCTACAACTCTCGTCCGGAGTTTTACCGGCGGCTCCGGAGGCAAGACTGAAGGCTGCGTCGTGGACGAGGACGCTCGTGTGCTCTTTGTCGGTGAAGAACCAACCGGTGTATGGCGCCACTATGCCGAGCCTGATGGCCGTAGCGAGGGTACGCTGGTCGCCAAAGTGGGGGATGGAACGCTCTTCGCGGACGTCGAAGGCCTCACGCTTATTCCCGGTAAGACCGCGTCGCAGGGTTTCCTAATCGTGTCATCCCAGGGTGTCAGCGGGTTTTCCGTCTTCCGCCGCGCCGCACCCCACGAGCACGTCGTCACATTCACGATTGGGGAATCGGCCGATGGGCTCATTGACGCTGTCTCGAATACGGATGGCGTGGCAGCGGTAGGGACGCGGCTATCAGATGATTTCCCCCACGGACTTATCGTTGTACATGATGATGCGAATCAGCTACCTGCACCTGGTGGGACGGCGCCGTTGGCTAGCTTTAAGTTAGTGAGTTTGAAGGACGTTTTGGGGAATGAGGCGTTGGCGGATATGAAGTTGTTGGATGAGGTGGATGACAAGTGGGGATTGGATAGGCTGCGGGGCCCCCAGTGCAAGAAGTGGAAGGGGCGTGTATAAATGTTGTGAATAGGTTGGTTTTATAGATATTTTTAGAGTATTATTAGAGATAATGTTGATCCAATTTTTTTTTTTCGGCTTTATTCTCGATAGAATATGTGATTGTCATTTTATGCCCGTATCTGAGCTGGGTTCCTGTGGGCTGAAATAGGAAAAAGGGGGAAATATGATCAAGGGATATTGGAAAAGAAAGGAATAACGAAAAGGGGGGTGGGCCGGAATGTATACGTAAAAGCTCGACGATAAAACCGATGCCACGGCCCATGGCAGCCTCAGGGAATACCTTAAAACTGAAATTCACAGAAGATAAGAAACAAAATCATTCATTAAAAAATTCAGGGAACCAGGTATCAGACGGGAGATACCAGCGTCGCGATAACAGGGCCTACGGGGGACGGGGTGATTTAACGTGTGTGCGGGTGGTGGGAATTTTTGCGTTTCTTTCGGTTCTTATGCACCGGAAGAAACCAGACACCTTTTTTTTTCCCTCCGTATGTTCGCTTCAGATACAAGTTCGAATCGCTGTGGCGGGGCCGCCGCCTGGGTGACGAGGGCAGGAGTGGTAGGTCTTTCTCTACTTTCGGCAGGAGATGGAGTGTTCCTGTTTCTCGTGCTACAGCTTCTACTTTTGATGATGAAGATGAGGATGATGATGAGGACGAGGAGGAGAAAGAAGTCGCTGCTGGTACAGGATCCATGTTTAGTAACTGGGCGACTTTTCTGTTAAGAATGGCTATCTGGGCGTCTTTTTCTTGCAGGTCTTGCTTGAGGGTTCTTGTCGTGACTTCGTAGTGTTTTGAGTCTCATGGTGAGTATGAGATTTGATTATTGGAGGCTGGCGTTTGGGTTGGGTTTGGAGTCGTTAGGGAAGGGGGTCGTGGTGATAGTTTTGTGGCTGTGTTCCGTTTGAGGCGTGCGGGGGAGGTTAGGTTGGGGTTCTGGAGGGATACGAGCCTGATCGGAATCGTGATTGTGCTAGAGTATGTGTCGGATTGGGTGTCACGGATGAATATGTTGGAGACATATGAATCTTATGTGTATCAAGATCTGCTTGTTATATTATCCATGCCCTATCTCCTATATCTATTTCATACAAAAGATAGAGCTATTTATAGTAAAATATATGTGTGAGCCAAGAGAGCTAGCATAAGCAAGTATTAGACAAGTGTTGTAGTAAGCTGATAATGATGATGAGAAATATTGTAGTAATATGATGTTGATGGTGTTCAGTAGTGTATAACCTCTTTTTTCCTGATACACCCTCTTCAGCAAATGTAACATGTAAATGAAAGTGTAAATGAAGCTGCAATAAAAAGAGTGTAGATGAATCTATAGAGATTATATCAAGATAGATCATTTATATCATCATTCTGCTTGCACCTTGATGATATCTGATATATCAACTAGGCCTAGTATCTTGACAAATTCTGTATGTTTCTGGTGTGGCAGAGCCTTAGTGAGGCCATTCACTGGCATCTGAGCTGTAGACACTCAATCAACTGTAATATCACTGAATTGAACATGTTCTCAGAGCCAGCTTTCATATATATCAATGTGATGAAGTTTCATG